CTCTCTCCGAGCTTCACTTGATCTAGTGATTATTGATGATAAGTAAGATAGACCAATTTAAAGAAGACCATAATTTTATCAAGCGTGAACCAATTAGTTTCAGAGCTCAACACCAATCCTTGATCTTTATGACAAAAGAACCACATCGCAAAAACAATGGTGGCCACAAACCTTCGGAATGCGAACATCATCACCCAAACCGAGGTTTTACTTTGGGCAAAACACCAAAACTGAGTGTCTTAACCTTATTGCCTAAATTCATAACAAAAACACAAACAAAACAACCCATATCTCAGCGCCCCCTTTTACCCTTCTCTGAGATAAATTTCAACAAAATTGGAAACAATTCTGAGAAGGCTGTGACCTGTGAGCACATATAAGTTTGCCTCTGAGTCAAAAGTTTGAAAGGAAAACCGAGAAAACTAAGAAACGGATGGAGATAAAAGTCAGAAACTCGAATTGCCGACAGAAGGATGTCGTGAAGCAGAGGAAAAGCTCTCGGCAAATTTTTTACAGAAAGTCTTGTTTTAATTTTGTTTGGTTTTTGTTTATTCTTGAAAGGTTACTTTTTTGCTGTGTTCTAAAAATGGGCCGAATTACCGATTAATTAAGTTAAATTTTTAAACTTCTGCTGAGAATCTATGGGCTTTAGGTAAGCCCACTCGCCAATTGAAAGAGTTAAGCATGTGTAATGATTTACATAAATTTTCTCTCTCTTCTCTCACTCCTATTTTTCCGAGAGAGAGGGCGATTTCCGATCTGTTTAGATCGGATTAAGTTTATGGCTTTTTGCCGTTTTTGTTTGTTTATACTTTCGGCTTAGACCGACTTCTCTTCCAATCTGATCGGATTTAATAATTCCACCATAGATTTTGTCTATGGATGGATTTGCTTTCTTTTGTTTTGTGTTTCTGTGTTACCGACTGAGATCGGTCCGACTAAACATCTCCTTCCCCTTTTTATGTCGATGTGGGACTTTGTTTTTTTGGTTTTTTGTTTTTTTTTTTCTTTGGTCGTTACTTTTTATTGGGTCTGATGGTTAGATGCTCTATAAATATTTTTAAAATATATATATTTTTTTTTGTCGTCTAGAATTTTATTAGATTAGAGTGAAACATAGTGTTACACACCAACCACACTTACAAAGCCCACAAAGGGGAATAAAGCCAGCGGACAGAAGTAAATCCCCAGAAATAAAGCCGGTTGAAATTGTTATACCACACCGGAAACAAAGCCCAACACAGGGAGACAACTAAAGCCACAACTAAACTGAATCTAAAACAAGAATCAAAGAAAGAGCAGCTTAAACCTTTAGACTTGTTTGATCCTCCCAGTAAAACCGCCAATTAAACACCCGACATAGAACCAAACACTTACCAAAGATGCCCACAGCCAAACCTTCGGTATCAGAGTCCTCCTAGTAACCTGCCTTTTAATTCTAAGAAAATCATGATTTCTCATCCAATTAGACGCACACCCGTTGTGTGGTCTCCCGGAAACGGTGGAGTCGAAGACAACAACTGGAAACACCTAGGAAGAAGCCTTTGAAGAGATCACGATCAGATCTGTAAAGCAGCGTCATTGAGCAACTCGTCTAACCCGGGTAACACCAACCTTCAGAGAAGACGACGAGAGATCGAACCGGAGAGAGACCAAACCTGTAACCACAAAAGCAAGGTGAGAGCCGACGGCCAAGGAGGAGCCAAGAGTCACCGGAACCCAGATTGGTCACAGACCTAAAGCGAAAAATCGAAGTCCAAGACGTTCACGGTAACACGTCCGAAGATCCAAAGGATCCGGCGTCTTGAGCCTCGATTGAACATAGATCTAGACCAGATCTGAGAAATAAACCACAAAATCCGATTTCTAATAGAAAAGATCCATGAGAAGGTGGAGAAACCAAAAGAGTAAGGCAAAAGAAGATTGCAAAGAGAAAAACTCTAACTCCGGTGCTGAGAAAGCCAACGGAGCCAAAGATACAAACGGCGGCGGTTGGTTCTTAGAGGAGAGAAGAGAGAGCAAATTAGGTTAGAGAGAGAGATTCAAACAACTTTTAAAGCATATAATAATATATATATATATATAGGAAAATGCTTAAAATATAGTAAAATTTCCGCACCGATTAATCCCCGATTTAATTCCAATTTTCAAAAAATTGCTAATCGGTACCCGACCGCCCGATTACCGATTAACGATTTTTTGAACACAGCTTTTTTGTGTGGGTTTAATCTGGGCGTTTTACTGTCCAATTTTCTTGTATTTTGTGTTTTTTAATTTTGTAAAAACAAGTATCTTATCCTCTATGATGATATTAGCATATTTTATTTAGTTGTAAATAATAATATTTCTTCTGTCCCATATTTAATTATCTGTATATGTTTTGAGTTCAGATACATCCAGATAATTGCAGATATATTTTTCTAAACTGCTTATAATATGGGACATAAAGAGTATTAGATATCGATTGTTTGTTATTAATTTTGCTTTCTAAAAATGTGAA